GTGTGTGTGTGTGTGTGTGTGTGTGTGTATTAGTGTGCAGACACACAACCCTTTTTGTTTGCCAGTCTGCTGCATTGGGTTGGCAATATAAAACAACCCAACCTGGCACTCTGTCGATGACCATCACTTGCATAATAAACTCTTTTATTGATCTTATTCGATAGCCAAGGGATCCTTCCAGGCATCCATATCAGTCTAACTACTGCTCCAACAGATGAAGTGCTGGAATGAGAAKTTTAGCCTCTGGCTTTATCGCTGTTATTATTATCTTCTGCACAGCCATTAAGGCCAACATTTTTGTCTTTGCAGCAAACCATTAAACCTTCATAAGAAGGCCACGAGGAGATGGCACACTAATGAAAAATTACTCAGTGCTTACCGTAGTAAACTTTGTTTTTTTCACCAACCAACAGGTAAATATGATGACTCTGGCAGAGCACATCATCGAAGCCACACCGGAGAGATTCAAAAGGGAGAACTTCACAGCAGCAGATTCTGTGCCCTTAGATACATCAGGGGTCAGCTGCACCATGAACTGGTTGGCCAACTACTTGGGAGATGTAGAGCAGCTGCCAAGCATCATACACTTACGGTAAGGAGTGTCATGGAACAGGCAATATACTGGCCAACAAAATGTGCAGATTGTTTTACCAGTTTACATGCTTATACATTTGATCTTGGACAGAAATTAAAGACAAATGAAAAGAAGAAAATAAGTAATTTATAGAWGCACCTGAGAAATTATTGTTGTGATTTAAAACCTCCATCTAAAAAAGTGCAATCCTAAATTTACAACCCCAGTTCCAATAGCGTTGGGACGTTGTGTGAAACATGAATAAAAACAGAATACACCTTCAAACCTGATGTCATTTAAGACATCTTTAATCAAATTATGAGCAGTCAGAACAAAAAGAGAGATATCCCAGATTTACTTTATGACTACTCATATGTTAATTGTTGATATCTGAAATATATGTTTCAGATARTAATTTATTGCAGATATGTTGAATTAGTGCCTCCAAACAATTTAATGGTAAATCCGACATCATTTATACTAGACAGAATGTAACCAGAGACATCTCAAATAGATATTTTGCCTAGTCAAAATATAATTTGATATCTTAATGAACTATTTCTAGTCATAAACCAATTTCAGATATCTGGAATGTAAATATATTAAAGTCGATTAAATGTCACAATGGTTTGCCATACCCCTGTGTTTGCAGCGTCGGCTTCACTTGCTCGACGCAGTTGCTGACGGGGAAATATGGTGATGTTTTAGGAAGAGAGCTTAAACTTTTAGGCTGCTTCAGTTTCGTACACTCAGAAATGTTCTGTTGAGTGGAACTTTATCAGAYGGTGGAACAGATTTGATGTGTTTCCGTTGTGAGTCAGCACCAGACTCTATAGCACGTTTTACAGCAAGAAAGCTGAAGTTTGTCAGACCTTCGATATTCGAACCACACCACTGAATTATGGTAGTCTTTTCTATCGTAATTATTTCTTCTGCTTCTTATTCCAACTGTAGACACTTGTTCCCTCACAGCTGTTCATCTCTTTTTGGTGGATATCCACTGTGTTGTAGGTAGCTTTGTTAGCATTCTTTAAACAGCGGCAGCGGTGAGCACTGCTTTTGAGCCTGTGGTGTACATCATCACTGATACAACATATATCAATCAATTTTTTTTAATTCATATCTCCAGTTTTGAAACATTTTCTAATGTGATATATATATATACACATGTTGAGTTATTTTTCAGCACTATATCTTTGAAGTGTATTCTGGTGAATATAGTTTGAAAAGGATTTTGCTTTACACAATGTCCCAACTTCATTGGAATTGGGGTTGCAATAAAAATGTAAAATATTAGGAAATGTTTTAAAAATGTCTTAAATATTTCAAAAGTTTATTGGCTGAAAATTGTCTTCTGATTATTTTAGTAAAATTATATGTACAAATATTTTGTTGTTTATTTGCTTTAGAAGTTTTGTCAAAACTTTTTTCTGATATACAAATGAASGTCATAACTGGGTCTCCTATTTCCTTAGATCTTTGTACAATGAGCCTCTGACACCGTCGTCCAATCCTAGCCTGAGCCCTGGGGGGTCTCCACTGAGGGAGGGCCCCCTGGACAGGTCAGCTGTCCCTTCTCTAGCTGACTGGAGTGAGTTCATCAATGCCTCCAACAGCAAGGTGGAGCGAGACCTGGCCCAGCTGACTCTGTCAGACCCAGAGCAGAGAGAGCTGTACGAGGCAGCCCGTCTGGTCCAAACTGCCTTCCGCAAGTACAAGGTACACACTCGAGGTTCAGGACTGACACGCCCACCGTTCTGTGCCTCACACTGATAGCATTAGTGAAATTAAATAGATTTGTTTTTGTGATTTTAGGGATGACTTTATGCTGGTCTCAAGCTGTGGAGTTCTATTTTTTGCTGTGAAGTTCAGCATTTGTGATGTGGTTTTATACACCGTTTGTCTTCTGATGCACTGATTCTCATCATGGTTCCTGCTGAATATGGAGTTCAGTCTTTATATTTGTGTCTTTCTGATTCTCTGCTCATTATCACATTACAACATTAAGACAACAAACGTTCTTTTAGCATGGGAAAGGTGGCTTGAGCAGAGCATGGCCTTGCTTAGAGGAGCTGCACCCACCCCCACCCATGTCCCTGCTGCACCTAGACCTTGTTACTGAGCTGCTGCGCTCCTCCTCTCAGCTCTTCAAACACCAGTTCTTTTCATCCTGCCCAACCCCATTCCCATCCCTCTGACAACCTTTACTAAGCTTTTACATGTCCAAATGTTCACTGTCGTTCACAGTTGTCTTTTGTGCTCATCTGCCAGATGATACTGTGATGGTTCTCTGTTGGGCAGCAGCCTACCCCCTCCACTCTTTGGTCCACAAGGCGTGGTCTTTATCCGGGGTGGATTTAAAATTCTAGCCACCGCGACACCTCAGCAACCCTCTGATATCCTTTGTGGCAAAAACAAGGTTCGGCTTAAGACTCTGACCTGTCCCACTTTACTTTCCGACAGGGGCGGCCGCTCCGAGAGCAACAGGAAGTAGCTGCTGCTGTTATACAACGTTGCTACAAGAAATATAAACAGGTAGGCTCCACACGGCACGGAAGTGTGTCAGCCAGTGTTGCAGCTGAGTCTGAGTGCTTTTTATAGCCCACCATTGAAAGTGCTTTCCTTTTTCCTGTTTACAAGCTAACATGGATAGCCTTGAAGGTAACTTGTCGGTTGTATTCTTCCAAGGCATGAACCCGCAGGATTGTTCGCACGGAGCAAAGMCTGACGTGTTGTTTCTGTGCTCGTCTGCAGTATGCACTTTATAAGAAGATGACGCAGGCCGCCATTCTTATCCAGAGTAAATTTCGCAGCTACCACGAACAGAAGAAGTTTCAGCAGAGCAGGAGGGCGGCTGTGCTCATTCAGCAATACTACCGCAGCTACAAGGAGTTTGGCAGACTGAAGCCTCATCAGCGTGGGGCTGCTGCTGCCCTGGTGCAGCACAAACTGAGGTAACACTCAGACCCAGGCTGAATATATTAATCCTGCTTCAAACAGTGGCTACTGACAAAACCACTCCATCATTCAGCATAGCAGCAAAGTGACAGTTAAATTACTGGATATGTCTGATGAACTGATGAATGGTGACTGCTTTGAGTCGTTTATCAACACCATCATTAGCAAAAAATAAGCTTGAGGGATGATAAATGATAATTTGGTGTATTAACATTGTAAAAAATAATTTAGGACATTTTTCCCGTGTAATGAAGTTACCACTAATGTAGTTTTATTCATAATTGTTTACAGAACAATAAGATTTTATCTCTATTCTTGTGTTTTTTCAGGGGTAGTCTACTCACAAAGAGGCAGGATCAGGCTGCCAGGAAGATTATGAGGTTTCTACGACGCTGCCGCCACAGGTAGGCCCCAACAACACAGTGGAGATCACAGTCTACTGGTAAATCACTGCAAAAGCTGCTTCTTGGTCTGTAGTGGTCCTTTATTTTTAACCATTGTATTTTTTAATGAGGTATAGTAGAAATATCCTTACACAACTTTTGTAAACATTCTTGTGCAAGATCACAAACTAGTCAAAGTTGCATCACCTCTCAGTAATTTCATCATTTTTAGTGTAGATGGACATGCTTCTGCAAAAACTGACATTATCTGGACCAATTACCAAACAGTTATGACACAAAAAATGTTTCCTCGTGCTGTAAAAACACCTACTTCCAATCTAAAGGTTAAAGAGCACACAGCAAACTCATTTTTATGGTTGACTGTTCCTCCTGCGATGTGGACACAATAAAAACTGCCTAATGGAAGCAGGASTTTCCTTCAGCAGGAGGGAAGTCGGATGTCTTTGTGGATGACAACAGAACAATAAGATACATGAAACTGCTAATTTAAATTTTCATAATGAAGATGAGCTGGTGAAAAAAATAATAAATTAGAAGTACATTATTTTGACTGGTAAGACTGCCAGGGCTGTTGGGGATATATTGGTGAAAGCACCGTAAACTTCCAATGAATCTGTCAAAATAGTTGTTGGTATTATGGCTCCAGGTCATTACAGGCTCCGCTAATGAGGAACATTCCTGTTCCCATTAAAAACAAAAGAGTCTCCAAACAAGGAAACATTGTATACTGACTTAAAATGGGCATACCATGCTTTTAAATCCTTTTTCACTTTTAAATCATTCAATTGGGTTCTAAATTCCTCTTTATTGTAACTCCACAAGCCCCTTGTTTGGAGGCTTCCGGCCGGTTYATTCCAGATTGGTAGAGGGGTTTAYGACTTTATAGCAGCACAGAAACTTTTTTATTTACAAATTAATGAAAATATGTCAACAAGGGAAGACTTGTCCATCCAGCCTTACACGTTGGAGACAGAGTCTGACCCAGAGCCAGAGGAGAATGAAGACAACCAAATTGTAGCTGGTCCAGACCTTATGTGGCAGTTCTTTCGCAAATAATTTGACATAATAGTTCAGAAAACATCWTAGAAAATAGAGAAAACTGAAAAATATGACCCAAACAGAATATAAAGTTATCTTTGCAGCACCAGGAGGGTCAGTTAAACTTTTCTGAAAACTCAAAACACACAATAAAATGCATTTAACAGCTAAAAAGACAGATTTACATATGTCCCCTTTAAAATTGTGTCTTACTTTTGACTTAAAGTGTACAGTTGAGCAAAACGAACCCTATGGCAAAGACAAGCTGATAAATAAAAATTTTCTTTAGTTGAACAGCAGAACATATTTGTGCCATGAAAGTATCCTCTGTGTCTAGAACAATATCTAATGTGATCATAAACCAATTTGGACAAAGCATAAACCTGATATCAAAGGTTTGCTGTTTGAGTTWATGGAGTTTCTACTTTGGGAGTCTTTTTAATAAAACAATCTTAAATTAAGACACTTTAGGATGTATTACAGTAAATGCCAGACTTCAGGAGGTGAAAACAGTGATTTTGCACATGGGTGTACTCACATTATTATATGTGACCCATCACATGGAAACCAGGATTAAGTCCAAAAGTGGAATGTGGAGAAACAGGCAGATATAGTATTTTGATTTAAACAGGTTAATTGATAACTCTAAATTGTCCCTAGGTGTGAGTGAGAGAGTGAATGGTTGTTTGTCTCGTTTGTCTCTATGTGTGGCCCTGTGATGGACTTGCGACCTGTCCAGGGTGTACCCCGCCCCTCGCACTGTGACTGCTGGATATGGGCACCAGTGACCCACGCGACCCTGAAAAGGAAGAAGCGTGTACAGAAAATGGATGGATGGATGGATGGATGGATGGATGTGCAAAAATTGTATTTTGTCAAAATATAATGAATAAATGTCTTATCAGTGTATCATTTGAGTGAACTGTGTGAAATATACCGTAATCCTAAAAAACATTTTTAGCATTTTTTTAGCAGTAGCAACAAAATACCTGACTTTGAGGAAAAATGCCTTAAAATTTTGAAATTTTCCCTGTGAGCTAGAAATGTTTTTGTTTTTTTTCCAACTGGGAAATCTTAATATACAAATATTATTTGAGGTTTCCTCTTTATATTAACATCAAGAATTACTCAATAAATTTACATAAAATTAGGATTCAGACCAAACAGTAATGTGTGATCATAACCAACAAGACAAATTAGGTCATATCTCTGGATCTGCTTATGATATCAGGATGATCCAGGTATCAAAATGTAGCTTTTAAAGCCAGGAAACTGAAAATGTAATTAGGTCATTTTGACCAAATTTGACTTAATCCTCATTTCGATATGATGGGTCACATATTTTGTACTTTTAGTCAGATCTTTTCTTTTTGTTTGTTCACAGTGAGGTGTTTGATGTGTTTTTCTCTTTATTCATTTTTTTTTAAACAAATCAGTGGTTAGAAGTACCCCCAATCCTTAAGCTCCACCTCCCACCCCCACCTGTCCTCGCCCCCCCTCCTCCACAGTGCCCGCTGTGTGCTAATAGCTGTCTGGTATTGTTTTGCTGTTTATGCTAAGCCCCTTGATGGACCATAGACTGTTCAAGCGGGTGAGTGCAGCCTCAGCAACTCAGTTCGTGCCTCCCCTCCTCTCTTTATCTCCTCTACCTGTTTATTCCTCACCCCCCCACCTCTCTCTCTCTCTCTCTCTCTCTCTCTCTCTCTCTCTCTCTCTCTCTCTCTCTCTCTCTCTCTCTCTCTCACTCTTTAATAAAATAATACAGTAATCTCAGTAATACGAAGTCCCGGTCTCGGTGCTCTCTTCTTCCATTTCTCATTTTCTCCTCTCCTCTGCTCTTTCTCTCCCACCTCCCCACCCAGCCCTCCTCATTCTCCATCACTGTTGCTTGATGCCTGCTTGCATGAAGGCTGCMGACTGGAGCCACAGGTGGACTGAGAGGCTCAGATTTAGAGCAGAACCTTTCTCAAACTAACAAAACGCTTCTGAATGATGATCCCACTGCAACACCTACCGGACCCACGTCTTGATTCTTTCTTTTTTTTTTTCTTTTTTTTCTACTTATTTTAACTCTCTGTCGTTCTCTCCTCGAAAATGACACTTTGTTTTATGTTGTGTTTTTGTTTTTATTTCAGCTTTGTGTGGTTCTGCACATGGCCAGTTTCTGAGTACAGGAAGCTTTTTTTGTTTGTTTTGTTTTTTTTTCTTCTTCTCTCAACTCTGTTTTTATCCTGCTGCATGTCAAGTGCTGACAACTATGGGCCTTGCTCTTTCTACTTTTAGGCATGCTCTGAACCTGCTGTTTTTTAAGTAGTTGTCTCTCTGGCTGGCTGACTGTATGCTCTGTTTCAAGCCACTCCACAGACTGCGAGGGGGAACATAACCCATCCAATTTTTTTCCCCAAAAGCACACATTTAAGCCTTTTGTCCACTACCTGCTGTGASCATTTTTTTTAAATATATATGAGTATTATACTGTATTTTGTGCATTGACCTGTTTCATTCAGGGAGAGGTTTGATTTTTGTAATATTATGCTATTCATAAGTCACTCAATATCTTTTTACAGACACAATATCTGTAAAGAAATTGGTATTGTATACATTAAAATGGTGTTCCAATAGCACTTTTTACTTTAATTGGGAATATAATACTTTAATTGCATCTAAGAAMATTTTAGCCTATCAGTGTGATTTTATAACTGTGTTTAGGTGTCTCGTTTTGTAAATTTCAAAGTAAAAGTTGAATTTCCTATTTCATTTCAACTCTTAACACTGTTTCCCTCCACAGAGCAGGAGTAGTTCCTGATGAGCTGAGCTGACTGGATGTTCTTGTCTGAGCAGTGTTGAAAGTGTCAGGCTCCCGTTTGCGTCTGTGTGTGCGTTCTGATGAATCCGCTCCTACGTTGCGTGGTGTATTTACGGCCACTTGTTCGTCTCTGTGTTGCAGGGTGAAAGAATTGAAAAGGGCCAGGGAACATGAGACCCCTCAGAARAGCCCCCTTGCGAAGTGACATCACTCTCCTGACTCCTCTCTTTCTTTTCGTTTGTATCTGAGACAATTTACAAAAGAACAGAACATTTCAAAAAAGGGGAAAAAAAGAAAAAAAGGGGGAAATAAAAAAAGAAAAGAAAAACATCAATGCAAGCATTGCTATTATTACAAGAGCAGTGCTACTATTACATGTACAACAGCATTTTTTTCCCACACATCTGTTTCCACGGACTTGATTTTGGCGGAAGAGCGGCAACTTCTACAGGACTATAAACTAGCAGGACCGGTGGGGGGTGCAGGACATCGGCTTTGTGGTATTTTTTTGGCACTTTTTCATGGATTTCCTTGTGTTCTCTGGATGTGAAGAAGTTTTGAAGGAAGTCGATGCGGGACAGGTGGATTGTTGAGGACCTCACGAGGTGTAAAAGTTTGGGCCGCTGCAAGAAATCTCCGAAGACGAAGGAACCTCACAGAAACGCCCCCGACTCCCATTGAATTCCACGTTTTCTTTTTTAGGTGACCAATTTAATTAATTTAAAGACCAAATACATCAATAAGCCACTCGTCCACTTCAATCTGCTCCTGTTTAATTAAGGTTTTCTCCTGTCCATGCGTGCTCTATCCCACCAGTCTGYCCTCGTGGGTAGAGCTCCAAATGAATGTAGTGAGGATCAAAAACACAGAGGCAAATTAGGGATAAAATATTTGTTTTAACATTTCTTATTAAAAAATACTATGCTTTATCGTATATATAGATATATATATATATAGTCACTTTACTACTTGAATTTGTTTCATATTGTCCGATGTATTTCTTCCATCATTGTCAATGTATTGGTGATCTGTATCTTCAGGCTATATGTTCTTAAAACCCAACCAAGAGAAAATGCATGACTTCTTGGGAAGAAATGTCTTTGCTTGTGTGCTTATGGCCTAGTCTTTCAGCCTCTCCTCTGATTTTCATTCTTTCTTTCCACTTTAGTGGCCCCACATGTCCATGTTCTTCTTCATTAGAGCCTCTTTTGTTTCTGTAATTAGGCTATCTCCATGTTGTCCTGTTTATTATTTCCTTTTAGATTGTTCATTCGATCACCCCTCTGAAACCTAGAAGAGAAAAAGCTTCCCTGTTTTGTGTTGTAATAGTCATGCAGGTTGTTATTTTTTTATTTTTTTTTAACGAACTTCAGAGCCTGGGAAGGCTTTTGGAAGGGAAGATCACATACATTGCCTTGACGTCTTAGAGATTCTTTGAGGGGTCCCTAAGCTTGTCCCAAAATAGGGGGTTTGACAAATCCATATTTTTGACAATTGAGTGATTTCTGTAAATAAAGAAGGCTGCAAGATGTGTAGGAAAAAAATAATAATAACATGTTCCCTATGGGGGATTGTATTTTAGAAATATATTATTTTATTCATTAAAAATGGGTCAAAAACAGGAACAAGACAAAAACAGAATATTTGTATAGTTTTGTTTGGATGCCGATAAAGTATGGTTGTATTGTTTGTATATAGTGTAAATAGCTGGGATAAAAATGAGCTACGTGCATGAAAAGTATAAACAGAGTCAACGAACAAGAAAGAAAAAAAACAACAAAAGCAGTAGTGGCTATGCTCTGTAAAATGACAAATATTTCACTATTAGAGTATTTCACTTTATTTTGATTGTTCTGGAGACAAACATTTTGCTAAAGCATGATATTAATACATATAAAAAAAGTTTAAAAATAATGTATTTAGTGTTAGGAGAGGTCTTCAAAATTATCTTTAAACCACTATACTTAAGTTCATTTCCCTTTTTTTATTTTCTTTTTTATTTGTTTATTTTTGGGCTCCCAATAAACTTTTGCCAACCGTGCCAAGATATGTGATTGCTCAATAGTTTAAGATGATAATTAGGTCAAACTTTCTTTAGGTGTTTTTGCAGAACAGATGATTATACAGTGACGTCATAAACACTCGCACTGAAAACCGTAAAGTCACAAATGGTGACAAAAAAAAAACAAAAACAAAGAGGTACACAGAATGCAGAGAGTCTTTAGGTCATCGTGTCTCCATCGTCCACATCCGCACAGATTTCATTCATCACCGGATTTTTGTTGTCACTGAAAATGGAATGTGCTACACGATTATTGAGGTTTCTTTGTCTAAAYGTAACGATTGTAAAAATCAAAAGGAGTCTTGCTGATTGGATTCCTGTAAACCAGTCTGTGTTTTTACTCTCAATCAAGGGAACRGATGAAGTGTTAAAACATGTACGATGTGACACCAAGTTCAGATTTCAGGTTTCATTGTTTGGTACTCATTGTAAACTGGTGGCATAATGTATTGGTATAAAAACATATTGTGTTTTGCCAGCACATTGTGTTCAGCATTAACAGTCAAATGTTGGCATTGAAAGCTATGAAACAAACTGTACGTAACAATGTTAGTTTGTCATACAAATTAATGCACTTGAAATGTGATCCCAGCCAAGAAGGTACACAAAGAGTTTCTGTAAAATGTCCATAAAAACTCAATGAGCATCAATCACTGCAGGATCTAATGTGTTACATTTAAGAAGTGTGAATTGTATATTGTACTCTGGATAATAGCGTATGTTAAGATTGAGAGGAAATGAGATTTGTTAAAAAGGTACCTCTTGGCTGCTGTCTAATTCCTGAAAAAAAAAAATCTTACCAGAAAGTGTAAACATGTGAACATTCAGCCAAGTGCCACTTGAAAAAAAAATTTTTTTTACGTTTTTGAGTTTTTCTTTAAGTCATCATTAGGATAAATAGGTGTTTGTTATATTATTATTATTTTATTTATTTATTTATTTTGGATCTCATGTTCTTGATTGATTGGTTGTTTTCTTCTTAATGTAGAAAGTGCCTATTCATGTCCTCACAACACCAACTCTGATTGATTTCAGTGCAGCTGACCTCCAGGGAATGGTCACCCACAGAGCGTGCTGTGTCCTCTGCATGAAGCCACACCATCACCACCATCGCACCATTCACACTCACCAAAGCCACAGTCAGTCGAGCAGCTCGTCACACATCCTGCCACTACTTTTATTTTCCTGCCCTTCTTCATTTTCTACTGAGACGGCTTGTTTAGAAAYGCCACTACTGGGGTTTGTTGCCTCGCACTCATACTCTAGGCAAAAATARATAAATAAAAAGAAACAAACGGGGGGTAAAAGATTTATTATGCTTGCATGGGTAAAATAGCCAACAGGGTGACAGAACTGCACCTATAAGCATGCTTATTTTCTTTGAACTGGTAGTCGGGTAGACATGTTAAAGACACACTGTTCTGCACAATGAGGAACAACCAGGTACGGTCACAGGTTTTTCAGAAACCTGTGACTGAAAGGCAAACGTACAAATAAAGCCACTGAACATTAAGCAGCTACTGATGGACACAACGCAGAGCAAGCAGTAACTATTAAGACGTWTTCTTTGCTTATTATTTGTTCAGTTTAGGGCGAAAGGACAAAGTTAGAGACATTATTATWATAAAATTAATTAACTTATAGCAAATAACTATTTAACCGAAGGGAGCCACTCGATTACATAAATAAAGCATTGCACAGCTCACATTCAGACATGTCAGGATGTCAGTTTCATGTGAACTGAGTTGGTGATGGCAGCATTTGTTCACCTCCCTTCTGTATTTTACTCAGGGTGCCAAAATGGGGAGGAGGAAATAGAGCAGGACATGTGATTCACATCAGAGGGAGCTGGGAAAACCTTACAGCAGTGCTTTCTGATAATAAAAAAAATGGGAAGAACAGGCAGGTTCACTATCAGGATACTGAAATCTTTCAAATTAACGAGTATAATATAGTCCATTTCCTCTCAGTAACCTTGGACATGACAAATACTGTTGAAGCCCTGGAATAGAGTCAATTTCTCTGTAGCTCATTAAGATAAATGATTTGACGTTCTCTCGTTGAAATCTGTCAGATCATTGTACGGTTCTGGCCACTTCTTTAGGCCCTTTCATTTATCTAGGTGTCAAAGTGTAGAAGCTATTTAAGATTGAGAGTGTCGCTCTGTGAAAATTGCACCTACAAATCTTGTTTTTACTGCCATTTATGAGTGGAATGACAGGTTAGCTGATGGGCACTCCGGTTCTTTAGCGAGCAGCATCATCAGTTTCAGGATGTTCTGGGAAATGACCTGAGAATCTGCCTTTCCTCCTCTTCTTTTGCCGAAGCACCCAAACCAGAGAAAGGTAGGCGCCTCAGGACAAACAGAACAGAAGCARTTTTTTTTCCCCACAGTCGGACCCACCCTTTGACACGGAGCAATAACGAACTGTTTTGTGGAGACCTATAGGCCTAGCAGAGTTTGAAATGATTGGACACATGTAGTCGACTTACTCTTATGCAAATGCCAGTATTGCAAGACAAGCATTCAGTAGTTTATGAACAGCAATTATATGGCACCCTTTACCGAATTGCACGTTTTCATCAATTCCAAACTGAGAAGAAAAAAGGCCCTGCTTTGATAGAAAGTTAGGGGTCCTCGACACTTTGCATGTGAACTAGTGTTAGATCTCTTTTCCTCTCCTCTATAGCTGTCTTTCTCTCTGTCTTTTCCTGTTATGTGACCCAGTTTTTCCTCTCCGCTCCCGACCCTCAAAACTTTCATCTCCTCTCGGTTCTCCTAATGTGTTTTGCTTTCCTCCCCTTTTTCTCCCCTTTCTCTTGTTTGTAAGTTTTATTTTTGTAATTGTGCATGTACAAGCGTCACTGACTCAATGGATATGTTTAAAGAAAAAAAAACAATTTTAAAAAGAGATTTCAGCTGCTGAAGCCATGCAAAACATTTTGAATTGCCCTTAAAATATGGAAGATGTTTTCTGAATGCTTTATATTCTTTCTGCTGTAAAATAATAAAAACAGGAAAAAATGGAGAAAACTTGAGAACCGATCTTGCTCCGTGTTCTTCCTTCCTTGTTCACTTTTCATTTAAGCAGGATTTATGTTCTCACCAGCGCCATTTATCAATAAAGACAACTGCAGATGTTATATTACGTTGTTTATTTCTACTAAACAGTGTTCTTTACGCTTTAATTTTTACAACTAAAATATGTGATCAGAAAACTTTAAAGAGTAACACATTTAAGAACCATGAGACAGTATCAAACCAAAGTCTCAAATCAGCAGGTCTCACTTAGATTTTCTTGTTACTGAAAACTATCAGTGGTTAAATATGTATCTGTACAAGTAATGCATGGATGGTGTTATTTATTATTATTATTGTGTGTGTGTGTGTGTGTGTGTGTGTGTGTGTGTGTGTGTGTGTGTGTGTGTGTGTGTGTGTGTGTGTGTG